AGAAGCTAAAATCTAAAGATACAAGTAAAGAACCATAAATATTTGAGGAGAGAGATGAAAAGATTAGAAAGAAGATTTCACCATACAAGGATTCCTATTCAACATAAAAAACGAATGACAGAGTTCAGCCTTCCAGTTTCCAATCTTTTTCTAACAAGCCGTTGTTGCCTTTCACCATTAACACAACTTTTCTGCTGAACTCTCAAAGTTTCGAGTCATTCATTCTTAATTCTTCATCACAATTTTATTCCATTACACTTAACTTGTGGAACCCCTGAAGATGTTTAATTCCTATCAATATTATACAGAACAAAATCTTTTTACTCAACTCGGGAAAAGCAACATTACACAGAAAACTCACAACTGGTCTTGCAGGTTGTTGACTAGAAACAAAAGTTAGGAAATTATATCCACCAGGAACAAAGATTTGCATTTCCAAGCTCCACATCATCTAAATCTCCAAAAAGACCCTTGGGTTCAAGGACCACTTCAGTAAGGTTCAGAAAGGAGTTTCTGGTTGAATGAAATAACCATCTTCATTTGTGCTTGTAAATCAGTCACAAGACGTAAAACCACCACCCTCTCCCTCATTCCCTAACTTAGGTGCCTTGATCCTTCTGTCAAAAACAAACAGAATTTGTTTCACAGTCACAGGACTACTAGGAAACTCTAACTCTAACTCTAGAAAAGACAAATTCAACACAAAATATACAAAGTTTTGTAATAAAAGCCTGAAGGGGAAGGCAGAAAGAAAGATATCAGCCTTTGGTTTTCAAAACAAGTAAAAATGTAATTGTCGTAAAGTTAGTTCCACCACAGAAATGGGGAAAAAAATATTCTAAATGTAATAACAACAGCTTTGCGCTTTAATTAAGAAAGAAAAATGGAAAAAAATTAATGTATCTTCATTCCTCATTCCCTTTAGCAGATCATATAATTTTATTAGTGTTAAAATATTCATGTGTTGCATGAACACTATAACAAGTATTTGAAAATAAGATCAATATTAGTGTAAGAATTTAAGCCCCATGAAGGCAGGGCATTTTGTCTGTTCTATTCACTGATTTATCCACAGCTGAACTCTAGCTAACGCACAGCAGGTTCTCAATAAATACCTCCAGCTTAACTGTGCTTAATACACAGAAGGTTCTCCACACATATTGCTGTAACAATGAATGAATGAATGTCTGAAGACATTTCACGACAGCTACATCTAAGAATCAACAGAGTATACTACACCATGTCAGAAGGGAAAGAAAGGAGCAATATTTAACTAGACTAATATGAAGCTCCTTTCACTCTTTTTCAATTATCAAGAAGGAAAAATAATTTCAAGAGACTGGTAATGAACAAGTTACCACTGAGCTACACAACTTCATGTAAGAAGTTAGCTTACAGTACCACATACTCTATCTGCTATCATTAAGGGAAGCAAAACTGAAGGAGAGTGGATAAAAAGCATTCATTACAGATCAGTCTGCAATTTCACCAACTCTAGATCTGTGAAGAATTAAGATTTTTCTTTACCAATTTTCTATTACTACTAAACTGTTTCACACATGAATATACACAACCATCAATATCAAGTGTAAGCTGTTAAGAAAATAACAACACAATGACATGATCTCCCATTATGTTATAATTAGCTACTTGCATCTCTGTCTCGCTCAAAATATTGTAACCCCTTGAAAGCAATGATCTTTTGCCCCACAGTCTACCTGTTGAATTACATATGCTGCCTAATATAAAATACATTCCTATTAAATAAATAGGGGGGCCAGCCCTATGACGGAGTGGTTAAAGTTCCGCACACTCCAATTTGTCGGTGGCCTGGGTTTGCAGGTTCAGATCCCAGGTGTGGACCTGCTCCACTCATCAGCCATGCTGTGGAGGCGTCCCACACACAAAGAAGAGGAAGACTGGCACAGACGTTAGCTCAGGGCTAATCTTCCTCAAGCCAAAAAAGAGGACGTTTGGGGCTGGCCTGGTGGTGTAGCAGTTAACTTTGCACGCTCCGCTTTAGTGGCCCAGGCTTTGCTGGTTCGGATCCCAGGCGTGGACCTATGTACTGCTTATTAAGCCATGCTGTGGCAGGCGTCCCACATATAAAGTAGAGGAAGATGGGCACAGATGTTAACTCAGGACCAATTTTCCTCAGCAAAAAGAGGAGAATTGGTGGTGGATGTTAGCTCAGGGCCAATCTTCCTCACACACATGAAAAATAAATAAATAGGAATGTTTATTCCTATTTAAATAAAATACATTCCTATTAAAATTCTCTAAAGACTTATTTACTAAGTCAGTCAATCACTAATAGAACCTACAATAAAATCTTAACTATTTTTACAAAACTTGAGGCCTGAATCATCTAATGCCATAGGCTGGGTAAAAATATTTCTTTTTAACTTTCAGTTGTGTTCTCATATTTGCATTCGACTATGCATTGCAGTTTCACAGTCTGAGAGGAAATGCATCTTTACGAATTATCAGAAACAGTTCTTCAAATACCAAAGTTACCGCTTTTATTTAATGATTAATTACTTTAAGGACGAAAGAAGGTGACTCAGGTTTTTGAAAGATCCCATAGGAGATTAAAAGCACCAAAATGGTACAAGTAGAAAGACCAAGTTTTCCCTACCAGAGTAGAGATGGAGCTACAAGGGGATTAGCTCCTTCTGTCAATCAAATACCAGTACTGGTGTGGTTTCTACATACAGCTCTATGAGCTTCTCAGTTCCCTTCAATTAGTTCGCAACTAAAATTCACATAGGAGAAAAAAAATAATAGGAGGACCATCTGAGTAGAAGGATCTTTTTTCAGGAAACCTATGATACTGTAGAGAAAGATGTGTTCAGGCATCAGAATATATCAAAAATATACAGTTCTCAGAAATGATTTTAAATATTTAAAGGTATTAGGATTTATATACAAATCCAAATAAAATAAATTGTATAATTACATAATTTAGTTAGATTAAGTTCAATTTAGTTAGACTAAGCTCTTTGAAACTAGTTTTCTAAGGTGTTAATAAATTCAAATAGTTTATGAAATGACTTATAAAAAACGAAAATTCAGCTCTTCAACTAGTGATAGTATCTTCAGAAAAAGCAGTAAGTCAAGATGAAAAGACTTGCTTATGTAGAGAGTTTAAGTCGCTTAAAAAGTAAAACTTTATATTAAAGACTACATTATTGATTCCACACACAGTGATTCCATATTGAAGACCGTCCATCAAACCTGGCATCTCATGTTTGTGCCACAGACGTCGTGTAACACATTTCCTCATTAATTTAAGAATGATATAACAGTGTTAACCTGGATTCTGATGGCTAACAGCAAAAGAGAATAGATTTGCCTGGAGTTTTTGCACTGCACTTAGACACTAAAAAGCCTACAAGAACATCACACCTCTCAAGGACACATCCCTTTAACTGACTTTAATAAACCTCTCCCATGTCTGAGTTCTATACCAGTATCCATAAGGAAACTTCCAGACCACCACTCTCTCTATCACCTATATGGGAAATCTGAAAACTACACTCAAACCACAACTGTGACACACTCTCCCGTCCTCCAACTTTACTATAAACAAATCTCTAAACTACTCCTCTTCCAGTCAACTCCTTCAGAGAATTTCTACGATTATAAACCTGTATACATACACAAGTATTTCAAATCCCAGCTCTGCCACTTACTGGCCTGTAACCTTGGACAAATGACTTAGGCTTTCTGTGCCTCAGTTTCCTCATCTATAAAATGAGAATAATAATAGTACCCACCTTACAAGATTAAATGATTTAATATATGTAAAGCACTTAGAACAGTGACTGACACATAGTGCTTTTATTATTAGTTTAATATTTTCAATATCATTCAAACTTCATAGATTTCATACCGTTAGATCTGAGGACAATATAGGAACAAACATCATTCTTTTCATAGCAATTCAAAGCCTGCTCAAATGACTCCTAAAGACACATTCAGAGAGATAGACACACACACAAACATACACACCCACATACACATACACACACACACACACACATGAACCTTCAGTGCATAGCGTACCTGAATCTTTGGGAAACAAACTTTTGCCTGCTAAGAACTACTTATCGTAGAGGAGGAAAAGAATATGGCAAAATGAGTCATTCAAGCAACAGGAAGGCAACAGCAAGCACAAAATAACAATTTGCCTGTTTCTTTTACAATGAGCAGAGCGGTGATACACAAAAAATTATTTTCAAGGAATCGTATTTTCTTGAACATACTTTGAATCTGGAACCACTCTGAAAAGAAACTTGCTCACCTCTTAGACCAATCCATTTACCATGGAGAAAAGCTTAACCGAGGTTAGGGAAAAAACTGGTTTTTGTATCACTCACTAAAAGTACTAAAACAATGTTAAATTTTCATTATTTTATAAATATCACATATTTCAAAATATCATTCAACTTTTTATTTACTTGATAGGAGAATAAATCCCAAAACACATTAGCAGATTTTCTTCAGATTCTCAATGGCCAAAGAACTCTTTCAAAGAGAACTTTCCTTATTTAAAGAAATTATAATACTATAAACAAAAAAGACAGTAAATTCGATGCTGAGCGTTCCTCTACATTCAGCACCACGTATATTTCGCCCGCCCTGAAAACGTAGCCTGGTTTCCAGACAGCTAGACGTTCTTCTCTACCAGAACAATAAATTTCCCTGCCAATTATGGGTAACAGTAGAAAAGTAAACACATGTCATAAATTTGAGCAAAAAAATTAAGTTTCTGAAGTGCTTCCCATTCTGTTATTAAAGTAAAAGAAAACACATACTTTTAATACAAAGCTTAAATTTTGTTTCCTTCAATGTTCAAAGTAAACAGGTGTATTCACAACCATATATTATCCCCAAATGTACAGGAGTAGTAAAGGTACCCCACAGTCAAAAAAACAAAAACAAAAAAACCCACTAATTTTTGCACAGAAACCAGAACACCATGACATTCTTATTACCTTTTAAATGCTTCGGCTGGGTTTCTCTCACACTCCCCGGGCTGTAGGAGGCTCTGGACGGCTGGGTCCCTTAGCTTGTCCTCATATCCTTGGAGTAGTCCACTGCGGCAGATCTGGGCAACCAGGCCTCTAACAAACCCTCCAACACACAAAGTATCAGAGTCCTGGGCTTTGCAGAAATGAAAGGCCAAAGCCTGGCGATGTAAACCTCTCTGCAAGCTTGTAGGTGAGCTCGGCCACAAGAGCTCAGTACACAGAGCTGTCTTGCCACTGCCAGGCCCTCCCACCAGTAACACACCCCAGGCAGCTCCTTTTCCAGAGACAACACTAGCATTATTCCCAGAATTCATGACAAGGGACGGTGTGTTGACAGTACTATTGCAGCAGTTAGATTTCTCCTGGAGGCAATGCTGAAGCTTGTGGAAAACCCACTCCCTACAGTAAAACTGCTTCCCCTGCAGTAAACTCGTTTGAGCCATTTTGCAGACTTTCTCTTCCCAAGGATTAGTCATAATAGGTTTCTTATCTTCAACATTTGCTAGAATCTGGATACATCAACACAGGTCTTTACATCCATTAGGACATAACTTGCATACTAGGTTGACTCTGAATGACAGAGTAACCAGCTACAGTAAAGTTCAACAGCCCTAGAGTCCACTTGCCAATAGAATGTGCATGACTTTATTTGGCTCTTTATTCTTGATTATCAGCAGAGAATGTACTAGTTTAATTGTTGAACTGGTGGAAAGTTGCCTGGTTCCAAAGCTTGGCAACCCTTTTCCTATATCTTGATGGGTCACATAACTCCATGGTTACATGTGGAGTTTATGTGATTGTGGATGTTTCAAGTATGCAGATGAGACAATACATCTGGAAAACTAAAGAGAAAGCCCAATCTTTCAATTTGTACAAGACGCTTCTCCAGATTCCAAGTGTTAATTCTGTATCTGAAAATTAGATGCAGAAAAGGTGTCCATTATAGTAAGTGTCATCACAAAGATTACATTTATACAGTAGGTAGGTAGCTCTGTACTTCTTGTTGAAGGACAGTCACTCAAAGTACTAGACCTTGCCAGTTTCAGACATCTGGGCAAGTGCCAGAGAGGGAACTCTATTACGGTCTCTTATGTTGCAGAAATGACAGACCACCGTGAACACCTTCTAGCTCAAAGCATTCAGAAAATGCATTTTTTCAAAATAGCAGATTCTTAATGAACCTGTTCACAGGTTTCTCAGTTTAAGATGTCCGAGTAATCAACAATTTCCATAAGTAACTAAAATAAAACAAACACAAATATCTTAGTGCAAAACATCATATGTTAAGTAAAAGCTCACCTATCAAAGGATGCAATTTACCAGTTAAAATAATCCCCAAAACCCATATACTTCATCTTTGGCACTTTGAAAAAGTTGGATAATTACCCAACATCGTAATTAACATTTTCCTGTCTGTATTTTTCTTCCTCTATGGTTATATTTCCCAAACAGCTACATATTAATCAAGTTACCCTAGATTTTTAAAACCTCACTGTAGTAAGGGGAAAAAAGGACTTTACGTACATACAGTAACATCCTTAACTCTATCAAAAAGCTCTTGCCGACTAGCTTGGTAGAACAGCGCCAGTTAAGGAAGCTTGATTAACTTACACAGACCAGCCAGTCAAGGATTCTGTTTACTGGACCAGCCACACGCTTCTTTGTTGATAGTTTGCAAAATCTAGGGGATGACTACCAGCGTTGTGGCTGGATGGGAACGGGTTAAAAAAACAAAAGAGGGGAGGAGAGGGATGATTACATGAGTGGTAAATCCAAACACAAATACAACGTGAATCCTCCCTTCCTCTACGCCAAAGGTGAAGGTTTCGGATGGGGGAGACGAGAGGAATCTACTACTGCGGCCGGAGAAGAGGCTGCGGGGAAGAATGCCTTCCGAGGCAGGAAAGGATAAGGAGCAGAGGGCTTCGGAGCTGAAGGGTGTTTGCCTACAGTTCCGGCCTCGAGTTTCAGCTGAGAGACAAAAGGAACTCCGGGACTCCCAGCCACGGGAACCACCTTGGGTTTGAGCAGCCCCAAGGAGCCACAGGGGGGCCACCTCGCAGAGGCCACGGACGGAGGTGCAGCCTCCACACTGAGGTCTTCCCTTCCAGAAGGCTGGGAACGCCTCGACACCCGCCCCGCCCCGAGATCGGGGTGTGTCTTTAGCAGGGGGAGGGGGGCCCGAGGTCTTTGCCAATCGCTAATGAGGGGTCGCCTCCAGGTCGGTGTCCGGCTCCGCGCCCCCTCCCCGCGCGCCGCTCCCGCCCCCGCCCGGCCCACGGTGGAGCCCGGGGAGAAGTCGGGTCTGGGGCCGGAGGCTGGAAACGTGGGTGGGTGGCTGAGGTCCAAGCGCCAGCCGTAGCCCCCGAGCTCCCGACCCGAGGGAGGGGCCTCGCTTCCCCCGCCGCCGCCGCCGCCGCCGCCCCCCGGTTACCTCGGCCCCAGCCGCCGTGGCCGCCGTAGCCGCCTCTCGGCTCAGACACTTGCTTCGCTGAGCAGCCGCCGCCGCCAGCGCTCCCCGGACGCGCGCTGCAGCCGCCTCCGCCGCCCGGCCTCGAGCACGCTCCCGGCTGCAGAGCCTCCTCTCGGCCCCGGCAACTGCCAGCTCCAGCTGCCCCAGCAGCCTGCCTCGCGCTCCTCCCAACCCCCACCGGCCAACCGCCGCCGCTGCCGCCGCCGTCAGGGCACTGACTGTCTCAGGCAGCCCGGCCCGGCCCGCTCCGCCCCGCCCCGCCCCACTCCGCGGCCCCGCCCCCGGCCCCGGCCCCGCCCCCGGCCGCTCGGCCTTTCTTCGCCCGCCGGCCCCGCCCGTGGCCCCTCCTCTGGCCCCTCCCCTCCCTCTCAGCGCTGGCCCGTCGCCGCCCGTGCCTGGGCGTGTGCGGCCGCCTGGGACCCGCTGCCAGCACCGCGGGGAGACCTTGCTGGGGACGACCTTGGGGCCCCGCCTTTCTCAGGGAGGGGTCGGAGAAGGGGGCGGGGGCTGCGTTCTCACGTCCCCGAGCTCACGCGAGTCGCTGCCCCCACCCACCCCATCGCCGCTCGGCCCTGAGCTTTCCTTTGTCTTACAGGCCGCAGGGACTCGCTGGCTTTTGGGGCCGCATCCGCTCCTGGGAGGGGCAGTTGAGCTGCGGGAGTTGGCCTTTGCCTCTCCGTAGACCACCTGGCCGCAGAGGCCGCTCCAGACCTATCCTACTCTTCAGTTGTCCGGGTGCCCTTCCAATCCTTTAAATTCCGCTGATGCTTTTACTTTCTTAGCCTGGGACTAAGAGAAGCAAGGAAAGGACTGGGAAGAATGTGAAAATAAAAATAGTAGGGGTATAGGACAGCGTTCCCACCGCCTCATGAAAAGGACGTGGCCTTCACCAGATGGGGGTTGAAAGCAGTTGTGATTGGGTCTCAGGCCCCTGACCTGGACAGTTTGATGACCCGCAGGGCCGCTATAGGAGAAAAAGTTCATGGGCGAAGGCAGAATATAGAATCAGATGAGCTGCCCTGGAGGGCCCGACCACAGGCAGTTACTGTTGAACTAGACAGGCCAGTTGTTCGCAGTCACGTGGACCTGGATTATTTAGATTCCAAATTTCTGCTGGGAAAGTAAATGTACTGTCAACTGATAGAATAGAAAATGTGCTCTCTATTATTTTATTGCTTATGGCAAAACTGAGCTCTCTATCTCCCATTCTCCGTTAATTTGAATGGGTTTTTTTCCCCCATATATTAAGCCAATCTCCTATTTGGTTTTAGAAATTTCAAAGTCTAGCTATCACCCTTCACTAGAAAAACCGACAACCAAATAGATTGTGCTTGTGCTTACTTTTCATTCTGTTCATTCTCGGCCTGGCCATGGCATTTGTAGCTTGTTGATCTTAATGTTTAATTTACTGTGAATTCTGAGATTCTTTTCCAAAACACAAGCAAAAGACAGAAGAGTATAAATTCTCCAAAATTAGAGAGATGAAAATTGATTTTTAAAAAACTACAATTTTGATTTTCATTGGTTTAAGCAATTTTAATTACCACTTAGCTTGTTTGCCATGAGGCTTTATAATCATTGACTCCTTCAGTTTCATGGTTGTAAAATTACATATATAGAGAAAATTTTTAAGTAAGAAATATGTATATCATTATCATTTCCATTAAACTCTTGCTAACACGATAATTAAAATAATTTCTGCCCAATAGAGAAGTTACAGAAACTTTTGGTTTCATAGGCCTGATTTTTAATGACAACTATCATGGAATGCTGTTTTAAATAAGATCAGTCATAACTAAGCAGTAACTCGTCTTCAGACGCATTTAGAATTTTTCTTGCTTTAAAGTTTATTTCACTTTTCATTTTTATGGCTTTTTGCTTTCCCTAAGAGAAAAACTTGTGAAGAGCAGGGACTGTGCCCCACACATCCTTGTATTCGGGACACTTAGCGAAGTTCCCTGCGTTTAAGGCTTGTCTGTTCTTTCATTTGCCATCACTTACTCAGAGACTTTCTATGCGCTTGGCATTATGTTGAGAACAGTGGCTGGTTATAAAGATGGATGAGCACAATTTCTTAAAGTCTGAGATGCTATTGCAGGGCAAAGGAAACTCGGGATTGCTTTAGCCATCCTTCCTTTTCAAAATATACATTTATCTCCCCAATTTTTGATATGAAGCTGTGATTTTTTTAAGCCCTTTCTACCTCCTCTCAACGAAATTGCTGCCTTGAAGTCCCTCTCACCAAAAGTCTGAAATCTCCATTGTTGAAAAGAAGAGGAAAAAAAGTGGGCCTATTTATTAGCCAAACCGAGGCATTTTTTCAGAACAAAAAAGAGAATAAAAATAATTAAAATTGTATAATTGTGTAATTCTTGGATATACTTATTTGTTAACCAGAAACTTATATTTGGTATAGATAAAGAATGGTTCTATTCAAACATCATTTTCCAAAAAAATGACAATAACAGATCTCTTAACACGTAAATTTTATGTAAAAAATTTTACAAAATATCTTTTTATCAATCACCCAAATGGTAAAAATGGCATAAGCAGAGTACTTACTCTGGGTACATATTCACAGTTTAATCCATTTCTTAGCATATTTTCTCTAACACCACATACTGGTATTTTTCCAAAGAATGCATTTTTTTTAAACTTGATTTTCCTTATTTTTAATTTGTTCATAATAATTGCCTGAAGTCTTCCTCACATTTGCGTGTCTGAATTTGAAATATCCCAAATCTTTTCATAGGTGTGTCGTTTTTTCAACTTCACTCAGAGTAACATCCTTCAACAAATATTTTTACAAGACAAAGCTCACCATATAAATTTTCTTTATTTATGTTTATTTTGATGGTTTAATCAAATTTAGATACTGCAAATTATAGTTCTTCTTGTTTTTAATCCATTTGGATACAAAACATGATTTTATCCAATTAAAAACAGCAACTCCATCAAAAGATCCTCCACACGAGTTGAGGTATTCCAAAGCACAATTATAAATTTGAAAGCTGGGTCTTTTATAATATTTGTACTCTTATCATGGAATATATTCAGTTCCTTCCTTGATTAAGAGATGTAAATTTCAATATCTTCCCATTTGCAACCTTTGTTTTCAATGATTACAATACCTAAAAGCTGCAAAAGTCAAAAGCTTTGATTTTAGAGTTGCGATGATTTTAAATGAAATGCTATGAAAATTTAGAGGACTCATTTTAGTCCTCTAGTTTAACTAATGTAGGTCACTCAGGTTATTTACCAAGTAATTCTTTAAATAGTTATCGCTGGCAATCTTTCAGATTATGCCACAAATTTGAGGAACGCTGTTCACTGTACAGAAGTGTTCAGCCAACTTGCTGTGTGCTCTGCTGCCGGGTGACAGTCTCTATTTCACATATTTCAGATACACCTTCCCTTTAATCTTCCACATTCACCACTGATTCTCAGAAGTGGCAGCCTGGTGAGTTCATGTGTGTCAAAGACAGCAGCAGCCCAGGGCATGCCTGACTAGTACACCAAGCTCCCAGGATCAGCAAGCTTGAAAGTTTCTCCAACTACTACCAAGACCAGGGTTTGCTGTACCTAACTTCTCATATCAAGCTGTATTGGTTTTTTCAGCTAGTATGCTGCATACTATTCTTGAAAAGAAGGGGTTAGTTACTTTGCATCTGGAAAGAGTCCAGAAAAAGAGTTGTTGCTGGCAGGCTTTCAGATTTCCCCACAAATTTAAAGAACTCTGTTTGTTGCTAATGCATCTCACTCACTATTAAACAAGATCATGGCAGAAGCTGGAAATAAGTATGAGAGTCTACCAAACCCATTCCAGATTATTTTAATAGAACTCTTAATAACAGTAATTTGTTTACACAAACTTGCACGAGTCATGTTTGTTATGTTAAGTGGACTTGCTGCGGTCCTCGCTATAGAAAGTCTTTGATTGACATAGTAAGCATAATGATAGGAACATCCAGCTGTGGTTGCCCTCTTAAATACCCTTTTCAAAAGAATGCTTATTTAAGCCTTACATTTTAAAAGTACTGTTGCCAGCTGTATTTGTTCTTGTTCTTGAAAACAAGCCTAAAAATAGTTTTTGCTTATAAAACGTGTAAGGTATAGGCCTTTCCTTCAAAGAATTAAACGAACTCCAAAATAAGATGTATTTTGCAGAATTACCAGCCAAGGGGAATAAGACTTACCAGCTGTGGTTATTGAGTAGCTGGTTACAATGTTCCCCCTTATCCTACAGGCTTCTAGATAGAGCAAAACCTCCCAATAGACCCCAAAATTATACCTACAGTACACATGATAGTATGAATCGGAAGTTCACATCTTTGGCCACCTCTCCAATACTATAAGGAATTTAAAAAAGCAAATTGGGATCTTCTAAAATAGATCCCTCTATTGGATTCTCATAATTGCTTTTTCCTACCTTTTCTTCCATAGGCTTATATATACTTTAAATGCTTCTGCCCAACCACAAAGTCACCATCACACTTTTATCAAATTTCTCATCCTGATAAAGGTCATTCAGGAACTATTCTCTAAACCACATTTTAAGTATCTGAGAGCACCTGAAACTGACTTAGTAATGTTACATTCCTGACTCCTGTGTCATATGGTCATACGTAAAGATAGCAATAATTACATATAATTATAGTAATTTGAAACTAATGCTAAATGACATTTATCAAGGTGGACTTTCACAACTTCATTATATCCATTATGCATTCTTTGACCAGATTTCAGTGGAGTTTTAGATATAATCTCTTGATTTGTTGCACATGGTTTGTTAACTTAATAGGTTCCCAGGTAAATGAGAGATATTTATATTTTATTTGTTGTCCTCAGTCTCTCTGTTCTTCTAGAACCACACCTTATTTTTTCTTTTTCCAAACATTAGCCACCTCTGAGAGGTAGGCTGTATTAATTTGGAAGATTAATGCTATGTACTAGAAAGCATAAAAATAAACTGAACAAAGAGTCTGTGGAAGTAACTCATCTTAGGAGACGGTTTCCGAAGGTCACAGAGGCTCCAATGACTCCCACACTTCTCATCCTGCACACATTACCAAGGAACGCGTTTATTTTGCACTGTAGTGATGGTGGAGGCAAGGCCAGTCGTACAATACAGCAGTACCCAGGGGCCTACGGAAGAATGGTTAACTTCTCAGAAGTTTTTGTTTCGTTTTTTTCTCTTCAGGCTGGATGTTAAATGACCTCCATGAGGTAATTCATAATTTCCTTACTCGTCAGTTTCAGCTTGATGCCTATATTTCTTATTAGCACTCTTTAGTTAGCCTAATATGTGATCATTCCCTTAGATCATTTATTTTATTATCATTTAATTTTGATTATGCCTCGTCTATTTCGAAAATT